GTCTGCAGTGAGACAGGTCTGTGTACAGTCTGCAGTGAGACAGGTCTGTGTACTGTCTGCAGTGAGACAGGTTAAAGGAGCAGTCTGTACGTGTCTAGCTAACGTTAGCATTAGCAGGCCTCAGGTTTGTATATTCATCGACACATGTAAAGAGGCTGGAATCAAACCGGTGACATGGGGACGTTGTGACGATGTCGAGTGTTGATGTTAGTGGACACATTAATGTTTTCAAGTGTTTTCAAGCACAAACACGTGTTTGAAAACACGAGTGATGAACCTGGTTGTGTTTCTGTCAGACGGCGGAGGAGATCGACCAGCTAACAGTTGATGAAGACCTGAATGACATAGAGAGAGCCGTCTACCTGCTCAGGTGAGAACTGGCCCCCGGTGTTAGAAACTTCTGGATGTTTGTGAGACTGTGACATTTTTTATTTTAGCTTCTTGTCTGACCTGTGTCTGCGTAAAAACTAGTTTCAGGTTGTTGTCTTGTGTCTGTTGGTTCACAGTACAAAAAGGGGAGGCTCCTGTTCACCACCTGTCTCCTTCCGAACCCAAGGGGCTCATTCTCCAGCCGGATCCCTGAGGATCTGAAACTAGTTCACTGAACTCAAACCTGCATGTTTCTGTTTCAGAGAACAACAGATCAACTGTTTGTGTGGTTAATGTCTCGGCTTTATCTCCAGGTGTCGCTGCCAGAATCCCTCAGGGTTCAAGTTTCGGTCCTTGTCTTTAACTGTAAATGTTCTCACTTCCAATATTTTCTAATGATTGTTGCTTTATACTTGTTTTCTCTTGTCGTCAGTGTGGGTCAAGAGGTGCAGAGAGCCAGCGTCATCAGTAACCTTCCAGGTCTGGTCCGACAGAATCCAGCCGAGACGTTTCGTCGGGTCGTTCCAAAAGTTCGGGTGCGTAACATCAGCCAGATTGTACATATGAAGGCAGGGGGGGGAGGGCAGCGTGAGAGCATTCATTCTGAAAGTACAGGTGTGTTATACAGGTATAACCTGACTCTTCTGTGTGACTCAGGAGGTCCTTAACGGATCTGGAGCTGAAATTCAGCTGTCGGCCGCAGCATCGTTTTTAACCATCCTACAGGACGACATCATCCTGATCCACACCCACACGTACTCCATCCTGAAGACAGTCCTGCTGCACCTGAACCACCGGGACCCAGGTAACACACCTGAACCACTGACACACACCTGAACCACTCACACACAGGTAACACACCTGAACCACT